TTGTTCCGATGCAAAATATCTCGACAATAGAAAGAATTAGATATGTGATCGTATTATTTCGTACCCCCGGCACTTTCAGCCCCGGTCTCCCCTACCTATATGTAGAGTTAACCTTTTTATTAAGAGAGACGATAAGCATAATATGTTATGCTTATGATAACTTTTTTAACTTTATAGATATTTTATAAATGTTTCTGAATATTTTGGTTAAAATAAAATTATTCCGTCGAATACAGTTCGTGGTGGTATTTGTATGCATCTAAGGGCTCTTCAGAGCATCAATAAGTATTCGTCCGTCTGGCAAGTCGGTCATTCCACGCTTCGCTTGTTAGTGCTGGGGATTCATAGAACCTTCGTTCCCTTTTCATACGTTAAATTGGCCCTTGAATACGTAAAATTTAAGTAAATCAGCAATGTAACATAATATATTTTATTTTCTTTTACAAAAATATATTTTATGATATGTTTATAACTGGTAATAACAAGAACAGTCTGTTAAGTGGAGATCACAACGGTTTGAAACAGTTACTTATGGTTAACACCAGAAGAATGTTCTTAGGGCATTATGGAATACTAATAAGTTACCTACAAAGTTTGGTTACACAGCAAGGTATATGTAGATGTAGAGCAGCATATAATCATAATGAAGTGTAACATACTTAATTATTCATCTGCTTTCCCCAAGAGAAGTAAAACTTAACCACATTTACTCAACCTACATGTTCGTGCTTAATAGAATCATTTGTTCCTGTGGGATTTGGCCACATAAGTTACAAGAACCGAATATATCTTTACTTACTGCTAATTTTTCTCCTCTTTATTTCTTTATTATTACTAATAGTGCTTAATTAAGGATTCTGAACTCATATGACTTTATCGTTAAAAAGTCGTTAGTAATCATTGAGTTATAATGTACTACGTAGTAATATTACTTCAATGTTAGTAATCCGATTAACGTATCACCCACCAATGTAGCTATCAAAAAAAGAAATACTTACTACATTATGAGAAATATGAATGGTAAGTAAATCTGTATTTCTATTAGCGAAGTGCTATTAAGTCTGAATAATTCCCTCATACCAAACAAATATTTATGCGTGATCATTTTTACTACCACAAAAGAAAAACCTTATAGAATAGATATGAATCAGCAGGGATATTAAATGCGAAAGTACTGCCTGTCTGTTTCACACCTAAACCACTGAAACGATTTTGATGAAAGGTTTAGAGATTTTTGTTAATTGAGTCCCGAGAAAGAACAAAAGATAGTTTTATCCCGATTTTTGAAAAAGGGACGCGCGGTTTCGTATTTCTATGAGAGACAAAATTTCACGCAGGCGAAGCCGCGCGCAATAGCTAGTGATACATAAAATATTAATGTTTTTGATATCAGGCTTTAGTAGGTAATTGATTGGATGTGGGCTGTATTACGCTTTGTTGCTTTTGTAAACTAAATGTGAAGGGCATTTGACGCTCAAACAAATCGGCTTCAAACATAATATAGGATATTGACGTTATTAAATTAAAAGTAAATTTACGTCAAATATTATGTAGGTAAATGAATAATATCATAATGAGCAATTAAGTATATTTCAGCATAAGTAACACTGTAAAATGATTATTTGATGTAAATATTTTTTTTACCAATATTACGAAATTAAAGTATCTCTACCAAAAGAGAAGATCAGCTAGATTCAATAAAATGCATTTTAGATTATATTATCTATTTATTTATTTAACATTTATTTGCATAATACATATTATCATTCTGTAAGGTTATTTTAGACTTACTTTAATAGCACATTCCTATGTGCTATTAAAGTAAGTCTAAAATAACCTAATGTAGGTTCATTTAAAAAGTTAAAGTTACTGTTCTAAAGTTTTTATGTTAAATTGGTAGAGTAGCTATATCTTTTTGGTATTTGAACAAATAACCGTTTAAATTGTTTAAATTATTTAAATAGGCAATGTTTACTGGCCATTGTGCATTATAATACTTATTATAGCGCTTCTAGCCACTGCAACCACTTTAGGCAAGCTGCCTAATCTTGTTTCAATAGCACTGCTGTTGAATTAGTACACAATAACTATCCGAGCTCAGTTTGAAGCTAAGTAAGTAGCTTCTAACGAGATAGCTTGCTTAGTGCAGTCGCAAACGCCGAGACAATCGGTAGAATTAATGGATTGCGACTGGCTGTTGTCATGTCGGCCGTTTGGTGTAGTGGTTCAGAACGGACTACTATGCCGAGAGGTCCCGGGTTCGATTCCCGGTCGGGCAGAAATTGAAATGATGAATTTTAATTTCTGTAACGGGTCTGGGTGTTTTCTATGTATAATATACAGGGTGTTAGGTAAATGGGTATATGAGCCGACACTAGCCCATGTTAACATGGGCATAAATGGTATGGTGAAGTCAGAAATTTGATATTATCATTTTATTTTTTTTTAATTTTCATACAAAATAATTTTTATAAAATCCGATTTGTATGAAAATTAAAATAATTAAAATTAAGATATCAATTTTCTGACTTCACCATACCATTTATATGACCATGTTAACATGGGCTAGTGTCGGCTCATATACCCATTTACCTAACACCCTGTATATGTATTTACAAAAAAAAAAGTATTTAAGTATGTTTATATCCGTGTACCCATAGTACAAGCTTTGCTTAGTTTGGGACTAGCGTCGCAGTGTGAAATGTCCAAGGATATTTATATTATTATTTATTATATTTATTAGATATAGCGCTTGACTCAAGGCCAGCTGTAACCACACCAACGCGTGCAGATCGCCGGCGCGATCACGACGCGATCAATCCGTCAAGGGTCGCGCAACCTGTCATTGGCTATGATCGCGCCGGCGATGGCGATCTGCACGCGTGAGTCAGTGCCTGAAGCATAGGAGCGGCACGAGAGGGTGTTTTCTACGACGTGAAAGACATAGATGTCAATCGTCATTCCCCATTGTTATGTAGACTTCAGCCCCCCTAGACAAAACGCACTTTTAGATCGAATCGAAAATCGAGTCCGTCAAAACTCTATACAATAATTAACTTTAAAAAAAATAAAACCGACTTCAAATGCGTGAACACAAAAAAAAAACTAAAAATTAAAAATATTGCGTATAAAAAAGTTCATCCCCAATTTTCCACCCTTGGGGGTGAAATATTTTCTTCAAATTCGCATGAAACCACCCTTTTGATAATACCTATTCAACAAAAAAATAATCGTTCAAATTGATTTATAATCGGCGGAGATATTGCGTATAAAAAAGTTCATCCCCAATTTTCCACCCTTGGGGGTTGTTTTTTCTATTATTAAATTTAAATGGGACCACCCTTGAGGTATTACCTATACGCCGAAAAAAGATTTGTTCAAATCGGTTCATAATTGGCGGAGTTATCGCGTAACAAACATAGAAAAAAAAAAACATACGGGTCGAATTGAGAACCTCCTCCTTTTTTGAAGTCGGTTGAAAATGGGGCTTTTCGACCACTTTTCGACTGGTTTGTGATTATAATTTGCACTTTGTCTAGACCCACAGATGTATGCTCTCTCATGTCATAATATATTATGTCAATGTCACCCCTTCCGTGCTTCTTCCATACAGTCACTGACTGAGTTAAGCGCTAATCATTTTATAATAGCAATATACAAATTCTGCATTTAGTAACAATGTTTTAATCCTACTTAATTCGAATTAAAAACTTATAAGTGACAGCGATTGAGTGTCATTTGAAACTCAAAATAATTTAAAAAATGGTGTTACCTACCTAAGATCGGATTAGTTCTATTTTTCAGGGGTGCTATAAGAAGAAAATCCAAGCTTTAATTCAATAAAACTTTTCTAATATGTATCCGCTGTGACTACGAAGTTCCTACTAAGTGCATTCTATCTTTCCAGTAATAACCTGTCTGAAGAAACTATACTTGGCAACTAGCGATGACTGCTATGCAGTTATCGTTAGTCTAGTAGAGTCCACTACCGACCCACGTTATTATTGCTTAAGGTTTTCACGTTGAAACAAATTTATATTTATTACTTTGTAATAATGCATTTTCTCTTTTAATGGGTCAAATTACCATGAAATTCAAAGTCTTCCAAGTTCGGTGTTTCAGATACCAAAAGTAAAATAAAACCAAAAGCGCCCCATGCTTATGGTGATTATCCATGTATTACTCATAATGTCATTTTTATAGGCCCCATAAAAAGTAAGTAGGTATAATATTTTCTGGATGGCGTCGTTAAGGGATTTCAAGGATAACTCTTACTCATATTTCTTATTAAATTGATATATTTTCTGTAATTTAAATTCCTTTTTACATTCAAACTTTTATCGTCGCTTTTATAAAGTGTCATTCTAAGGCTGGGTTGCACCATCTTACTTTAACTTTGACAAACGTCAAAAATCTGTCAAACTCCATACAAAAAACACCGGTTATCATCATAGTTTACGGTCAAAGTTAGGTGGTGCAACTCAGCCTAAGTTTTACATTCTTTTAATATTGTTAAATTTTAATTGGATACTTCATGGTTAACGGAGATTAAACAAATTAAATTAAGCGAGTGTACACTTGGTTTTCGTGAAGTGTAAAATTACCTTTATGCCCATTACAACTCGTTTAGTAGTTTTTGCGAGAACGAGTAATAAATACTCATTTGTCGTCATTTGTCCTTTTACAGAAGTAGTACAATTAGAGCTCAGATTTCTGACCCACTTCCATGATTATTCTTGTTGGATGATTCTAAAAAATCCATACTACTGAAAAAAGCACTACTACGAAGTCAGGCAAATAATAATCTTTAATAGACATTTATATTTCTTAATCTGCTCGGTATGACTAATTTTTACACATCAGGTAACTATATCATATTTGAACGCGAAAATTGACATTTTTATGTAATTTTCAGTAAACATTATTTTCGGTTAAAAATATAATTTTATTCCATTCGCCCATATAAACCTTTTATTAATTGTAATACAATTTGTCAACAGGGCAAAGAGTACGGTCGGATAAAGAGCTCGCCCATATTCTCTCACTCGTTCGCGAGGGCGCGACGCATCCCTAGGCCTTCCCATCGAGTTATAGATCCCACAGAAGGTAAGTGCATTTAACGCGGCTAAAAATAAACATAGAAATAATTTTATAGACGCAAAGTTACAAGGCATGTTACAGGCATTCTAACTAAAATGTTTGCTTTAGCGCGGACAAAAGGTAATCATAATAACTTGAATTCTTACAATTGTGTCTTGGTGATATTTAATTTTTTACGCTAATTCTCATCTCGTACAATATTGGAGTTTATGTGCTTTCTTGCAACGAAAGAGACTCGGGGATCTTATTATGCTTAATATATTCCTTTTAAGTCTCTTCATGCATAATTTGTCTTACCGTCCAAGGTTGGGGTCAATGTTACAGGTATGGTTTCAGTTTTGGTGGTTTTAGTAAATACGCATAGCTCTGTATGTGGATTTCATGGTGTCATGTAGAGAGAAACTGAATTTGGGTCTTGTCGGAACGTAAAAATAAAACAAGTTATTTTAAAAACAAAATACCTATCACTATGACAGTTAAAGTTATACTCGGACTTCTTGGCGGGAAAGTCTTGACACTGGCCATAAGTATTATGTGCAAACTGTACGAAGCCTTAATTGAACAAAAAACAGTGATACTCATTTGTTTTTATATTAATCGAACGTAGTGTTTTTTTTTCAAATACGCAAAAGGTTGCCAGTATTTTGTTATGTCCACAGATTGTTTTCTCGTCACATCTGAGGAAGGTGAGCTATTCTTCAAATCACCTTCCGATGAGCCTACGGTGTGCGGAATATACATGATAGCGGACCCAGACAAGCGGATCCAAGTGACATTCAACTACGTGGACGTGCCTTGCGACAACGGGGGACTCGTTGCGGTAATTTAAACTTAATTTATTTCTGCCATCGACATTTCTTAATTAGATTTTCAAATCAGGGCATGAAGCGGACCGCGAGGAAATATTAATGCAGTTTCTAAATCTGATGCCTCTCGATACCCTACCTATTCTCTCGCAATTCCTGGTTAATTTTCTAGAAAGATTATTGAGCTATTATATTCCTTCTTTAAACCAAGAAAAATAAAAAAGTCGTTTATATTAGTGGTGGTATCAAAATTAATACAATTTTGAAATAATTGTTTGCTACAAGTAGGTACCTAACATTCATTGTCTTATTTACATCAGTTACAATAAGGAAGAAGAAGTCAAATTAATTCCTGGCATCTAACATGTTTATTTCCAGTTAAGATACAAGTGAGTTTCATGTAAAGTGAATATACTAAGTAGGTAAGTAGATCATTACCATACTTTACAACTTGGTGCGGCAGAACTTTTTCAATTCCATCGGAACTCTTTTAAGGAGATTGCATTTTATAATTGAATAATCTGTGGACAGAAATGTATGATAGCGTAAGTGTAAAAACTTTATGAGATTGTTGTCTCGTAGTTTATTTTAAAACATACATTTTTAAAACGTAATCAAACATAGGTAAGACGATAAAAATATCACCCCTGAATACGAATTTATTCGCATAGCAGTTTTTAGAATGGACAGCAAACATTTTGAAAGGGTGGCCATTGAGTATTTCGGAAAATGCTCCGTAAAATCCGAATACATATGGATAAACCTAACGAGACTCTGTTCATATTCTAAAAGCTTTGTTATAGAGTTGGATGGCTTTTTGTTCACAGTCAAAGCTTTGTTCTAATATTTTTTGTCGCTTAGATTTTAAAGCTGTTATGCATTAAAGAATTGGAGTTGTACTTACACCATACGACCTACCGACTACCCCAATAAAAGTTAACAAGAATATCTTTCTAGTTAATCTCAATTGATTTACTTGTTTGGCAGTTTTTATGATCCATTTCCAAATAAGTAGTTCCATTAACTCTTTTCCATAAGCAGCTTAATTTTTTTCGACTCCAAGACATGTGTCTCTCTCTGCCTGTTTTCTATTTTCTATCTCAGACTGCCATTTGCCTTTGCCATTTTTATCCATTACAACTTGCTGTCTCTTATCATAAGACACGTCGCCGCGTCGATCGCCATTTGAGTAACATTTTATTAAGAATATTTTCCATCTTGGGGGGAGTATTTTCTTTCCTTATTAATGAAAAGGGACAGGAATACATTTAAGTGCTGCCAATCTTCATGTAGGAAAATGCGTCATATTTTGTAACGTTTTATCGGTGATGGATAAAACAAAATATATTTAGTACTTTGTATTTCTTTCTTATTTATTCTTATTTTTTCAAAATGTGAACAACGACTGCCGCTGACTGAGGCGGTACCCCTATATCTCATATCACAAAACCACATCTAGTTTGTATGTAAGCAAAGATTTTGCCACGCGTGTTGTGGGTTGTGGTGGGGATAGCAATTAGATTCGATATCCAACCCATCAATCAGGAGTTAAATGCTGTACTTTCGTATTTTATAAGTTGGACATTTTCTCAGTGGGTGGACGGCTGGGAGCTCAACGGGCAAGTGTGGCCAGCCGACGCGTGGGACGACGACCGAGTGGTGGAATCCTGTGACCGCAGGCCGCAGAGGAAGCTCATATCGCGGCAGAACGCCGCCCTCATCCAGTACAGAGTGCCTGCCCAGGGAAAAGGATTCGCCGTCACTATACGACACTTGAGAAATGCAAGACGTAAGTTTTGAACACCAAGGCTAGGATGCGCGCCGTGATAAAATCTTATCGATGATTTTATACGACAAATGTATGGGCTGATCACGTAAAATCGATAAAATGGTGCAATACCTACGTAACATTACGTAATGTAACTTCATGGAAATCGATTCGATAGTAGGTAAGGTATACAACCTTACTTATTTATGGCAACAAAGCGAATACAAAGTTAACAAAATGACTAATGTAACATTATGTTTTTATCGTACCTACAATTTTATATTTAATCGATTAAAAAAAAAGGCATTCGAAAATATAAAATAGTTAAATGATTGATTACCAAAAGATGTCATGAATCGAAACACAGAGTCATAATCAGGGATCAAAGTGATATTTTATATGTCCATGAATACAGAAGTCAATCTATTTAATGTCTTTTGAATATTACAGATTTAATTCCTAAAAATACAAGTCTTTATTTAAAGATCAGCATACATAAATATTTATTTCAGTTTTAACATTAATCTTTGAATTTATTGCTAACAATAAAGATCGTCAAAGCGCTAGTGAATAGGCGTCTTCAAAGAAAGCTCCATTGAACCCCTCATAGATAACATCTCAAAGAGAGAGATTTTATCTAAATCCGTCTACTCATGCACTTACCCGCATCGAAGGTACCTAGCTAGGTACATTTATGCCCGTTTTCACCATCAATCCCTAATTTTTAAGTGACTCGTGTGGTAACACATTAACAGGAAATTTGTTGTCAAAGGGGTCATTTAAAAGTTTGGAATAATTGATGGTAAAAACCGGCATTAGAAACATATTTGTTTAGAAATATTGTAGACATGTAACAAGATATTTTAATAGCTTCATTGCAAAAACATTCTGATTTGAAACTAGATACTTTGACCGAGTAATTAGACATCCACCTATCCACTGCCGCTGAGAGAGCATGTAAATCCACGTGATTTGGACTTTGTTTGCACAATATTTAGAAACGAAGAGTTTTTTTTTTTTTCATATAATTAATAACTTTTTTAAATTAGTTTTTTATAGTTTTGTAATTGATTGTATTACATTAACATCCATCTCGATCACATGATCAGGCATTGTGGTCTCTGTACAATAAGAGCTAGATCAACAAAGAATTATGGTTCTTTAAAAATACTCACAACGCGATGTGTCTATGATGAAAAGCAATGACGCATTCTGAGTTATATTTGATTTAATAATCTCACGAGGAATGTTGTAGCTTATCAGCAGGGTTGCCAAAGGGACGGTTTTCGTCCCTTTTAATCCCTAATAATTTTAATATAACCACAACACTATCCTGTTTTGTCTAACAGCCTGCAACGTCATGCTGTTCGGTTCTGAGGGTGTGTACACACTGCGGAATCACGGGGAGACCGGCAACTGCTCGATCATCGCAATCTCTCCTGCTATCGTGCGCGTTCTGGACCTCAACGTGGGACAGGCTATGAAGAGGGACGTGGTTGATATGGAGACTGGGACTATTCATCGTGTGAGTACTTGGCTTATACTGTCTTTAGGTGTCTTCTATCTTCATCTCCATCTGTGTTTTTTTTTTACTATCTTCTTTGTGTGCAAATGCCAGAAGGAAAATGAATGGATGAAAAAATAAAATAGGTATCCGTTTCATCTACTTACATATTTTATTGTGTCCCTTTTCACCAATAATCCTGCAACTATTCTTATTATCATTTTAGGTTTCATTGTCAAGGTCGAAGCTTCTAGTTAATTCCCTAAAAAGGAGCGGTCCTAGGTATTGCTCTACGATCTTTGTTAGCAAATGCAACCTAAAAAACTACCACTTTTCCTTTCTTACGAACCATAGCAGTGGGTCGGCTATTCAAATTCAATATAGAGAAGTGAGTTTCGATTGCAATGTTGATCTTGTTGAGTAAGTTCGTGTAAGTATTTGATTAATAGAAACGGGAACCATTTTTGCTACACACAGAGTTCTACTAAAATAAGACTATATTAAAATAATGGAAAGTGTCAGTATAAAGACAAGTAATGAAACCATCACGTGAATCTCCACGACATATTGGGTGGAATCTTAAATATGTCGTCGAATTCTTTGACTTTAACAAAACATTTTGGTCACCAAAACATTTTCCTATGTCCCAAATTTTACGATATTTCGTGTAATACATTGCTGTAATATCTTGTTCTAACTTCTAGGCAATAATAGACGTCTCGTGTCACGACGAACGAACCCTTGACTTGAACGAATGACAGTCCTAAGGATCTTAGGAATTCTTAATCATCAAACACCCGATTCTGTTCGATTGACAACATCTCCAGTGATACGTGATTCTATTCAAATTTATATTTTTTGCACGAGCAATTAATTTCTTAAAAGTTTTCCGATACTCATTCTTGGAAATTCCCAAACCCGGGACGTGTAAACATTTAATCATTGCGAAATTCACATTAATTCATTAATTAATTTGCACCCCAAAAGTTAACAAGTACATTAATAATTTAACGAGTATTATGTTACCTACTAACTAAATTATGTTAATGAACAACATCTTAATAAGCAGAAGCGAGTATACCTTTATAATTAGACGCTTAAGTGGTAGCCTTCTACTCGTAGTTATTACTGAAATAATTAAAGCCTTTGACATCACTGTTTCTGTTATTAACTATCTCATTTGAAGGCTAGAGTTGGAACATAATAAGCATTTACGTAAGAAAGCAAGTAACATTTATGTATATTTATTAGTTACACTAAGTTTGTGTAAGTAAGAGGTGGTGATCTATTAACTAAGTTCATCTTAAGCTCTTCCACACTTAGAATGGCACGTCATCGCTACTGAGCCATGTCATTGCCAATGGCCATAGTTTGAAGACTTTGGCATGGGATTAGAAGCGATTCAGTAATTTACATAATGGTACAGTGTGTGAACTAGATGATAGGCGTACTGAAATAAAGAAATTATGAAATTTTATTAATACACTTACTAACTAGTAATTTAATTATTCTAACAATGAGACCAATTGTTTATTTTCAAACTAAGCAGAACTAGAATAAGCACACACACACATTAACTTATAACGTAAAAATTAATAATTTACATACACATTACTAGGTATGTCAAAATAGAATTACACCCCCACAGGATTGAATTCAGAACCACAGTAGCGTAATCTAATTCAATAACATTTTAGGCAGCCGGCGTCATATTCCTTTACTTTTTTAAAACGAACGGCATTAACTCCGTAAATCACTTTTGACTAATTCTTTCTAGCCAGTTAACTCGGTTATGTTATAAAATTTCTTTCAGCCAATTCAGCAATTCCAAGTAATTGGATGGGAAAGGACAGATACTTAACTCCTCCGCCTAATAGAGCATGTCGCAAGTTAGCCGAAACTTCTGGTATTATTAGGCATGAGTTAGTGAAGTTCGCGTTTATGGCAGTATTTGAACAGCTTTATTGCTATTTGACTTTCAGTTTGATCTAAGTTTAGAGTCCTAATTGGGAGTAGTGAGGTTGCTTTAAAAATACTTTTAATTGATTTTGTTTTATTAAAATACACGGCATAAGTATTAACATCATCTGTAAATTATTAGTTTTCATTTGACTATTTATCTAACATTTGAATTTCATACTGATTTTCATTAATTATATCTTGTTTAGGTATTGTAAAAGGCACTAATAGTGTAGGTATTTACTGCTTAGCTCTGGACGACGTCATTGCTACAACCTTTCTTATATGTGTCTACATTAACGTCAAACATTCTGACCAATATAATCCATTCAAAAGAAGCACAAAAGAGAATACCTTAAAGAATCCTGTTTGTTTAGGGACGTTTTAATACGTACTTCATTGAAAATCCCTAAATAATGACATCGACTTTTATATCAAAAAGAATTATGAATAACGAACAGCTTAACTTTATGTTAAAGATCTAGATTCTGCGAAGAAAGGTTTCAATGCTTCATTTGTAAATAAACTATGACTAAGTTTGTAGCTAATGAAATTGTAATCCTCATGGATATTCTGATTTTTCTTTTTCGCCGTTATTTCAGGCAGTCTGCTTATAAATAAGGTAAAATAATCGAGTTCACTTTGGCTACTAAAAATAGCAGGCGCCATAATTTAATTTATATAATCCAATGATTGCAATATAATGTTGGCCCGGCTTTTCCGAATTGAGCGTCCATCGGATTTTTTCCTGGATCTCAGTTATTTAATTTTTCCTCAGAATATTGTACTTTTATTCATGTACCTTTTTTAATAAATAATTTTGATTTATTATTTATCTTTTGCTGCGAAACTTAATAATCGCGTTCAGCTTAGTTAAAGTCGTGGGCTGAGAAAGCGGGGGGTAGCTTATAAATCTTGCTAGTGCCTAGGCTATTACAATGTTATAAATCTTACAGTTTTGATTAAAAAAATGCCTCAGATTTCTACTGTTCTAAGCAAAAACAATGTGATAAAATAAACGTAATATAAAAGCGGTTTTCTGCATAATATTTCCCTAAAGATGCTATCGCATGTAGAGTCGTGTCAATTATGATCTTCGTAATTTCATCTACTCATATTATGGACTCAAGTATTAACTTACACAATACACGTCTTCAGCAAGTATCCAGTAGCGAGGTTCTTCAAAAGCCTTACAAAAAGTTCTTCGGCTTGCAAGTTGTTCTTTCTTTTCTATTCCGCGCGAGGCGATTTAAAATATTTGTCATTCTACAAGGCTTGCTCTTGACCTGTATCTAACTCTTGACAGATATACGTTCTACCTGGGCAAGATATTGTTAACTTACTTGATATGTTGGAACATCACGCAACTTCAGCTTAAAATATTTTTTAGTACACGCAGTTAATTGAAAACTCAGTAATTGAGTTTTGGTGGCTAAAATGGTGTTATTTGTTATTTCTTAAATAGTTTTATTCGAATTGATATCAGAGTATATTTATTTTATCTTATTTTCTTTTCCATAACTTTAATATTCATTAACAATTTTTCATAATACTTTCTAAACTACATACATCCTCATATTTAGTGCTAATAAAATGTTGACAGTGTCTTTATTTTTATTGGTAATCCTCGTATATCGTATTGACTACTATTTAATCTTATATCAGTGTACTACGGCTTAATTATTAAATTCAATTTATTTTTGTCCAGTGTACGAAACGGGGGATGCTCGACTTCGTGGACATAGGTGGCGCTAATGGCCTCGACCACACGAAAATGGAGATCCTCGACAGCGTCTGCGGTCTGGACTCTAACGAAGGTAATGGCTTTATAACTCTCGTGATGGAAAATCAATAAATATTGCAAGTGGGCTCGAACAAACATACAGTAATATTGATATTCAATAAATTATCTGTGTCCGTAATGTACAGGAATGCTATACACTAGTGCAGGGATGCACAGACTCTTTGGGAGCAGGGGCCACAAAGGCAGATTATGAGCTAAAAGCGGGCCGCAGAAAATAAAAACAACTGAATAAGGGCTATATTACACCGGGACACCATGGCGGCGCAACCAGTCGCCGGCTACTTACCAACAAAATGTATACAGCTCTATAGAGAGTTACTCACCGTGTCCGTTTGGTTGCGCAAATCTGTATACATTTTGTTGGTAGCGGCGACTGGTTGCGCCGCCATGGTGTCCCGGTGAAATATAGCCCTAAAGGTTCCGGTTGTTATAATTTCGCCTTTTTGTGGGCCGCACGTACATTATACAGGGGGGCGTGGTTTGTGCATCCTTGCGCTAGAGTAATTTGCTTATGGGCATTAGCTATGCGTTGGTGCTAGTTTAGAAAAAATTAGGTACTGCTACTACTAGGTACTCGTACATAAATTGATAGTAAGCGATGCGAGTCTCCCATTTCTTCAGTTTTCAATGTACCTCTATACCCCTAGCTGATGGGATTTAGTCGAATAAGGTGAGCTAACATTTGAGAAGGAGAGTTCAAATCCATTCAATTGTCATCGTTACTAACGACAAAACCATACTAATTTCCAAGTAAAAACGTTTTTCTTCTCATGTAGCTTCATACTTCTCGTTTTTGACGACTAAACGGTAATAATGTTCTTCACAACTGAAATTAAACAAGTTTTATATCAGGTATTATAATCCAAAATACAATTTGAGGGGATGAAGAGACCGTTGTTACTAAATCACCGACACTGTAAGGAGATTTGACTTTATAATGGGATCAAAATTTCATTATCACCTGAAAATGACTTATTTAAGTGATTAACTTCGAAACAACGATGAAAATTGGTTTTTCGTAAACTAATAGCAAAGGATAGTGCCAGGGTCTGGACCAAGTGCTGCCCAGAATCAACCCATAGTGCATTTTGTTCCTCAGGCCTATACTAATGTGTAAACCGAAGCGCACTGCAATCTATCCCTGGAGTTAAGAGAAAAAAAGAGTTTTGTTTTGAAATATTTACATACAAAATATCATCGATATATACGTACTACGCATAAGATTTCATGATTTTGGCATTAAATAACACTCGCTATGTTGAATTTAACCATACTGCATCCGTACACCTTACTTTAGTGCGACTTAGACATTCTTTATAAGCGATCTAGCGCTGTTGCAATAGTTTGGTTAGTTGACAGAAATCATTATAATTTCCAAAATGAAGCAAGAAGTTTTAGTTCTCTATCCTTGCGAAAAATCAATTTATTGGTGTATTACAATCGATTATTGAAGTTATTGTAAGCTAAAACTTCTTAATTCGACTTCTTAAATTAATTTCGGTCAACTAACCAAACTACTGCAACAGCGCTTGATCGCTTATAAATAATGTCGAAGTCGTACTAAATTAAGGTGTACGGATGCAATATGGTTAAGTTCAACATAGCGAGTGTTATTTAATGCTAAAATCGCTAAATATTATGCGTAGTAGGTATACATCGATGATATTTTGTATGTAAATAATTCCAAACAAAACTCTTTTTTTCTCTTAACTCCAGGGATAGATTTCAGTGCGCTCCGGTTTACAAATTAGTATTGGCCTGAGGAACAAAATGCACTATGGTTTCATTCTGGGCAGCACTTGGTCCAACTTCCATACATGGATTGGCACTGTCCTTTCTATTGACTAACTATTAAGGGCAAGTTGAATCCTTAGTTTTAATGAGGTATCCTTATTTATGAGTAATTAATTAAGCTTATTTTGCTTGACTAATTCATAAATTTTCATTTACTCTGTTTATGTTCATATGCGTGATTAATGAACAATATAGCTTTCAAGATACTTTGTTTTAGATGTGATACAAAATAATACAGACAAAAAACTTACGTTGAGTTGAATTTAAAGACGTTAATGAGTCATGATGTCATGTCATAGATCGTTTCATCCACGAAGACGCGCCCCACCATTCTTCCGCTAATGTTTGAGTGTTATCGGTACATCCATGCACACTGCACAGTGCACATGCACACTACAATAATGAAGCTCGGATTGCTCGAATCAAACCCCGCGCTTCCCTCGACCAAAAATTGGTGGGGCGCATCTTCGTGGATGAAATCTATATATATAAAAGAAATTCGTGTTAGTTACTCCACTTATAACTCAAGAACGGCTGAACCGATTTAGATGAAAATTGTCAGGGAGGTAGTTTAGAGCCAGGAGAAGGACATAGGATACTTTTTATCCCGTTCGAAATAAAAAAAAAACTGCTTATTTATTGCCATTAAGGCGGAACAAAGTTCGCCGGGTCAGCTAGTTATCTATAAAGGATTCATTTCAAAATTTGACTTTTACCCAGGTCGTCGCCCAGCCTACATCGCCTGCGAGGACACCGTCGTCCGGTTGGTATCCAGCGGGAGGTACCACAACTCCGTCACCCTGGCTTTCGCCCCTCTCCCTATGGAGGACATCGAACACTCCGACCTGATCTGCGGACTTAACACCGTGTAACTCGACCCGGACTGCCTCAGGCCACGCCAACACAAATAACTCCTGTAAATTCATTTGGGCTCAATTATTCGGGAACTCGATCACACCTCTCGGATTACAGGCACTTAGCCTTTAATTTTAGGGATTCACCTGAAATAGTATTTCAAATCAATTAGTTTTAAGAAACAATAACAAGATTATTTGAGGAAACTGATCATTTAACCTAAAGTACGCTATACTGTCAAATGTTACTAGCTATTGTCGAATCAATGTAGGTAGAGATAGTGTCGTTATTCAATAAAAACTTAAATAAAATTATCTGTCTGCTCCTAAAATAAACCTAACTGACATGAAATTCTACAGCATTGCAGAAACAGTGGATTGGATCATTTTATTTTGAACCCGCCTATACTTTAAAACCTGATAATTTTTACTTTATGTTAAAGTAGACTTAACTTTTAATCATTATTATTATTGTTGTTACAATTTCTAAATTATGCTGCTCGTAATTTTAACATAATTTGTGCGATGTCAATAAAGAAAAATATTTTAAACAGAAATAGGTAAACCTATATTTTAACCAAAATAACGTTGTCTGAACTAAACTCTTCATAATTATTGTAATTAGATGACAAAAGATGTATGTCATTATTTAGAATTAAGTTTATGTGTAATTAAGGTAGGTAGTATTAACTGATTGTATCTGTCTAGTCATAATCAAAAGAAAATAATGTATTTCGCGGCCATGCAATACGACACAATACCCTAGCAGTTTGTCAATAAAATTAATTAAATGTTTGAAGTGTTTTATTAATTGGAAACTGACCCTGCTCTGCTGAACGGTTGACAGCTGAAAAATAATTTAATGTCGATTAATTTTTATAGCAAAACGACATAAACCATGCCGGCGTTGTAGACAGTATTAATTACCTACACTTTTTATAACTGTAGACAATTGACATAATGGGACGTCTGGCTCAATTGGTGCCTGAAATCGAATAAAGAAATGTAATATCGAAATAGAATTAAAATGTTAGATTGTCTACTTGAAAATCGAAAGCAAAACCAAGTCAATCATATCAAAGCTGCTACTAGGCAAATCCGTGTTAGGTAGAAATTACATTGCTGGAAAATAGTTCATTAAGTGATACGAGCTATTAATTTGTAAAATAAGGTTGCAATTTGCAATCTTTCGACGATGACAGTTCGACTTTGTAAGCGTGCAGCACACCTTTATTTTTTTAAAGAAACGCTAATTATGATTCATAGAGACAGTTTAACGAATATTAGTCTAGAAGTACCACTGAGACATCAAATATCTGTCGCAGGCAAATTGTATGATTCCGCATTTTACAAACGGCGCCGTCAGTTCACAAACGCTCGCTGCTCTATGAAATGCCGAAGGCAAAATGTAAGGGTACTTCTCATCGCCACGGTTCTCATCGTCACCTTCGTGGCGAATTTTATTTCTAACTTATTTCAACTTTTTGTAAACAAAAATTGTAGCGCTTGATGTGAAGATTGTATTCTCAGTAAATCAGTCAAATAGTGAGTCTCGTTTGGAAGCTTTAAAGTTTTGAATTTTTTGATGCCACGAAAGTGATTCTGTACTTCACAGCAATATTTTTTTCAAACTTTACTACTGTAAATGACTCTTAAGTGTTTATAAAACATATATTTTGTCTTATTTTCATAGATAAAAAGCAATAACATAATATAAATAGGTACCTACTTAAATACAAGATAAAATTTTACCGATTACGTCACCTACTAAGTTACAAGATTCTACGCAATTGGTTTTAAGGGTGACACTGGTGGCATTCTGAAATGCTAAAGAAGCAAAAAACGGATTATCAGTACCTCAATAAAAAAAGAACTCTAACTGATTTATTAGTCCCTCAACAAAAATATATTTTTTATTTAGGCCAGAGGGTCTCGTATTTTTGTTGTACAACTTTTAACTCAAACTTCAGATTAAATTTATCTTACAAACAGATACACAGTCACATATACAGACATACATACAGTCATACAGAATGACAACAAAAATACGAGGCCCTTATTTTTTTATTAATGTACTGAACTCTACTTAGGCACCACGTATAATTTATTAGTTATTAAAATATTATAAAAACATGAACACCAGTCACTATATTTTAAAATAAACCAAAGCAAGAAATCACTTTCGTGGCCTAAAATCACCTTCGTGTATAAAACACCACGAAGGTGATGCCACGAAGGTGACGAAAATTTTAGTTTTTTATGAATTATCCTTAAATTTGAATTTAACGGTTCAAGTCGAATACTACACAAATAAGTCTAACATGTTAAGTTTTCAATGGCAAAGTTTCAATTAAATTGTTTAAATTTTAG